TCCCTCCTCCTCTCCTAATCTCTCCTGTTTTTCCTTTGAACCATCATCTCCCTCTTTCCTCCGGACTCCTCCGAAACTCTCCCACCCCCCAGCTGTTACACTGAGCAGCACATGACGACAGGGTGGGTACCCGCTCAAACAGCATGTCCTGGAGTGGTGGGGGCAGCCCCGCTTGCGCCTTCCCCTCCCTGCAGCCTGGAGGGACGTTTGACGAGAGCTGGAGAGGCTTCTCTCCTCCAAGCTCAGCTTTGGATTTGCGCTTGCAGTGGAACTCGGCCACGGGAGAGCTTCCCGCTCCCGTCCGGGATGCCGCGACGCTTGGGCTGGCTCAGACTGGGTGCCCGGCTCGCCTCGTGTCCCGAGGGTTTAGGGAGGAACCGTGAGGATCAGGGCAGGCAGAGAGCGATCTCCCGAATTCCCCCAGCCGGCAGGTCAGGGACGTCCTGGGTCGGAGGGACGGTGGCTGCTGTCAGTCCGGTCCCGCAGTCACCTTCCCCAGGGAAAGGACCCCGTTTGTGCTTGTAAACTGCTGCTCCGTGGGGCGTCCCGGCGTTATTCTAACTGTTTTCATGGATTTTGTTCCTGCTCCTGACTAACGGTTACGTCCCGCACCTCGCCCCTCGTCTCTTTGGTTGCTCAGGAGAGACAGGTAGCTTTCCCTCTGGTGCAGGTATGCTCTTTTCCAACCTGGGGGTGGGGGGGAACTAGGAGGCTGCAGGTGTTTCTGGAGACAAATCCTTCTGGTTATCGGCCTTGCGGTGGTAGGGGTGCATCGGCTCGGCTGGGTTCACGGACAGAAATCCCTTCTGAATCAGCAACCGCTGCTGATCTGCTTGGTGTTTCCTCTCCTGCGAGTTACAAGCTTGCCCCCCCCGGAACAGGCAGGCTTGTAAATGCCTGGAGATAAGGACTGTAAGGAAGGAGGGAAAGGTGTCCGGGTTGGAAAGCCCCGTTCCCCACCCCCCCCTCGGTACTGCTGTCTCCTGTACGTTCAGTCCTGGGCAAAACTCTGGAAGGGGCTCCTCTGTTCCGCGTTGCAACGTGCTGGCGGCATGGAGTCTGGGTGGTCTTGGTCGAATTTTACGTGTCGGGCTTCCCCTTTGGACTCAGCTCTTCCTTACGGCATTCCGGGTGGGAAGCGTGTCGTGGCCGCGTGGGCTCTGAGCGCTCGTCGCTTTGCTTTGCCTTCCCTGCCTAAAGCTGCTCTTTTTTCTTATTTCAGCGCGCAGCAAAGGAACACCCAGACGAACAAGAAAAGAGCCATCCCGAACCAGGTACGGCCGCCGGCTCCCCGGTCCTCCCTCGTCGCGTGGGGCAGAGGTAGCAGGATCCCGCCCCAGCAGTCGTCAGAGCGACCCGGAGCTGCGTTTCGCAGCTCTTGAAATTGGGATTCGAGTTGATCCACAAACTCCTTCCTTGAGGGATATTTGACACTGGGGTTGGAGGCGGGAAAGACGGAGCTCCGGCTCATGGAGCGGGAGCGTTTACTCCGCAGGAGCTCGTCTAAACGCAGCGGGAGTCGGGACGAGCCGGGCGGCACGCGCTGCTGGAGGAGCCCCGTGCTCTGACGTGGGGCAGGGTCTGGCCTAACTGCCCGGTCCTGCCCCCGTCGATCCAGACCGGCCCTCCGGGGTGGGGGTGGAGGGAACGGGGACCAGGAGGAGCGCAGGGACGTGCCCGGCAGCCGTGTCAGCCTCAGTTCTGTCTCATCATGCAGCCTCCCGCTTCCGAGAGGGTGTTTGCTATCCGGTGTGCATGACTGAGAGCAGGGCTGGAAGCGCCCCCTTGCATGGTGTTAGGTCTTGCAGTACCTAACGCAGACACTGCCTATTGTTTGGAAAGAATGTAATGAAATATTAACACTGTAAAATTATAATTAATAGCATGTAACTGTTTTTCTTTTGCTGTTTTTCTGCTTTTTCCTACCATTTTTGTGCTTCCTGCTCTCTTCTCCCTTCCATCACTTTGTTTTTCTTCACTGTTCTGTCTCCTTGTCCTGCTTTTTTTCCCCCCTCCCTTAATTTTGCGCACCTAAAGGGTGAGATACTGGTAAGTACCCACATAGTGTGATAGTGCTGGTAGACGACACCCAGTGATGGACGTGGCCCTGCCAGAAAGACCTTTCAAACCTAAAACGCCGCCTCTCGCTTCCCAGAATTGAGTACGCTGATGGCGGAGGGAGGACAGGATTCCCCGAGGGGAGCAGCCGGGCTCTGTGGGCTTAGTCTGGAGACAGAAATTCGGTCTGTCCCCTTCATCCCCACGCCTGGGCTCGTCCCGCGGCCGAAAAGAAAAAGGGCTCGGGGCAGATCCCTGCCCGTGCCACGACCATGGGGCTGTCGGCGCTGCCTGGCATCTGCCTGCGCTCGTTGGGAACGGGTCTAGGGAGGGCTGGATACTGGGATTCAGGGTGAGTACTGGTTTTGCTGGGAAGCAAGAAGCCAAAATCTTTGGGTTTTAGCACAGAGCTGCCTGTGGGACGCGGTTCCCATCGAGTGGTGGCGAGGGCTGGAGAGAAGCTGGATCCTAGGCAGGGGAGTCCCTCTGCCCGCGTTTTGGGCAGGCACGGCAGGTAGGAACTCGCCCCCCGCCCCCGTTCGCAGCAGCTGCCCGTTGGGGCTGGAGGTGCTTTGCCCTCCCCCAAGCCGCCTTTTTGTGGGCTTGAGGTTGGCGGACCGACCTCGCC